CAGAGAAAAGCACAGGAGAGAGGAAAGCCCCGGAGGCCGAGCGCCAGGCCCCGCTCCCGCACCCGGAGTCTCCCTCCGCCACCCAGCGCCGTGCCGTCTGATTAGGCAGCCAAGAGCCTCAGCCACATGTGTCTATTTAAATTCAAGTTCATTAAAATGACATAAAATTACCAGTCCAATCGCACCAGCCACGTTTCAGGTGCTCGGCGGCGGCACTCGCGTCTCGCGGCCCCCCGTGGGGACAGCACACACCGAGGACATTCTCCTCCATCCAGGCGGCGGACAGGGCGGGGCTGCCCCAGGCTGGCCTCTGAGGCGGGCACTAGTTCCCCCTCCCCCGTCCCCACCTAAGGATCAGGACACTGAGGCCAGAAGGTCAGGGACTTCACCCAAATAGCTGACGGACGGAAGCAGGATTTGAACCCAAGTCTAACTTCAAAGGAGCCCTCATGAGAGCTGCCTCCAGGTCGGGGCGCTGGGCCCTCCCTCAGGAGCCTCCTCTGTCCGGCCCTCCAGGCCTCCTCGACTCTCCAGGGTGCCCCAGACCTCCAGGGGCACGCATGAAAAGGCAGAGACAGGAGCTGAGCCCACCTGGGACTCCCCAACCAGCCCAGCAGGAGAGGAGCCTGCTGTCTCCGGAGGGCAACAAGCCCAGGCCTGGGGCCCAGGTAAGAGGCCAGTCCCTCGGAGGACCCATCCCAGCAGCCCGTGCACGGGAGCAATGGCTTGTGTCCGGCCAGCCTGGGGGAGAGGACCTGGGACGGACAAGTTCTCCAGGGAAGCCTCCACTCCGCAAGCGGCGCCCGCGAACAGTGGCCGCGGGGACAGGCGCCGTGACTTTGGACCGGGACAACAGAAAGTCAGAAGTACCATCATCATCATCATCTTTGCCTTCTTTGAGATGAGCCCGCGCAGGCTCCCAAGTAGCCTGCCCGAAGTCAAACAGCTGGACATCGGACCCAGCCTCTCGCTTTCTGCCCCTCCTCCCCTCTCCCCGCCGCTCCACTGGCCACAGGCCCACTTGACGGAGCAGGACACCAAACTCCAAGAGCAGCAGGGACCGCCCCTGGGGAGGCCGGGACTCGAGCTGGTGGGAACTCGCAATGGTCTGTCGTCTGCCCGAATCCCCAAAGAAACACTCCCAGACTGTGCTCTGCTCTTGGCTTCCTGTGGCTCCTGACTGCAATGTGAACGAACGCACGCTCCCCCGGGGCCAGCCCGGGCCCAGGTGGACGCGGCGGGCGGGAGCACCGGCCACAGACGCCTCGCTCTGGGCTAACACAGAGGGGGTCACACACGGAAGAGAAGCCGCGCCCCTGGGTGACCTTGAGCCAGCCTGGCCCCCGAAGCTCGCCCTTGGCTGGGAAACCGAAGCAGCTCACCCACGGCTGGGAAATGGAGAAAAGCAGCATCTGCATCGTCAAAGGACCTCTCCGGACCCCCAGCCCCGCCAGCGCGGGGCGGCGGCCTACCTGCAGGTACTCGTCTGCTGCAGGTTTGCGCCTTGCTAAATAATTCAAAGCCATGTTTTCCTTTCCAGATAAACACAGCCCGTCGCCAAGAGGAATGCCAAATTTGCATGAATGTTTAAGATAAAATGAGACTTCAAAGAAATGCCAGGCCTGCGGCTGGCGCTGGTCCCCTCCCCAAGTCCTGGCGAGCACAGAGGGGGTGGGGGGTGGGCGGAGACGGGCAAGTTCCCAGTCTGCTGCCCGCCCGGGGCAAGACCTTCAGGCGCTCGAACAGGACACAGAACTTCTCTGCCACAGAGCAGACGTGCAGTAAATTCCAGCTGCACCGGCGCGACCTGGAATAACCCCGGGTCTTACCACACAGCCAAACCGTGTGACCCTGGGCAAGTCACTTACCTAACGAGCCTTCCTGTGCCTCAATGTCACCCTCCCTAAAATGGGGTCGGCCCTGACCTCACGGGGTGGTAAGGAAGAGTAAACGAGGGGACCCCTAGAGCACGTAGAGCCTGGCACACAGTAAGTGCTTGTTCTGTGTTGGCTGTTATTGTCACTGCATTTTATAGACAGACATACACGGTTGTGTATACACACACACACACATATATATATAGACACACGTACGTATGTATAACGTGTCACAAAGACAACATTTCCCAGGTCCCAGACTACAGTCCACGGGTTACAAAGCCTGTGTCCCGCCGCCAGGACCCTTAAGGGATGCCAGCGGGCCTTTCCCAAACACCACTCCCTCGAGAACCCTCCCAGACCCACCTCAGGGGCAAGACAAGGCCTCCGAAGACAGCTCCTGGCCTGGCCCTCCCTCCCCTGCAAGCTGTCCCCCTCATAGGAGGCCCAGCCTCCGAGGTGTCACCTGGGGGGCCTGCTGTTGGCTTTGAGATGACCACACACACACACACATACGTGCACAGGCCCTCGACCCCCACTGTTGGAAGGGGCGAGAGTCACTGCGCCCGTTTCCGCAGAGTTCCGTGTAAGTGTGCACCCTACCCCCGCCCCCGCAAAGAAAATCGGAGCGATCCACAAACTTCTCCACCCACGGGCCTCAGGTGGGGGGTGGGAACAGAGAACAAGGCACACCCCCCCTCGCCGGCAGCGGGAAGCCAGGCCTGGCAGCCTCCGCTTGCAGCCTGAACTCCCGGGGCCGCTTTCCCACGCGCCTGCCTGCCAGCCAGCCAGCCAGCGGGTGCGTGCCAGCGGCCAGCCCCCCGCCCCGTGCCCACAGAACAATCGAGCCCCCCCCCGCTTGGGGCTTTCATGCAGCTGAATGCGTGTTTGCAGAGCTCAGAGATCTTCAGGAGGTGGTAGGAGTATTATTAATTGGGGGAAAAGAGCAGATTATGCCAAATAAATCTTTCCCACGTAGCCAAACCCTGGCCGAGGAAGGGAGGGGGCGCGCTCAGCCCCACGAGGGGTCTCCATCCCTCACCAAGGCCTGACAGCCACATTACCATCTACATGGATTCATCAATAGTATTGATCCAGAGCAAGCGTAAATAGCTCAGTGGGAAGAGGCCAGGGCTGGGGCCCGCTGCCTCCCGCCCCCACGTCTGGGCACACTGCAGACTCCCCAGGCACCTGGCAGTGTCGGCGGTAAATTTCCAGGCAGGGACGAGGCAGCCGGCGTGGGGAAGCCAGACAGCGCCCAGGACGCCCCTTGCAGCCCTGCCACCGGGCCTCCACGCTCAGCCGGCGCCAGGCCCAGCCGGCTCCCGGCCCCCGCCCAGCGCTGGCACGGCTGACTCCGTCTGCGCATCTGCTCAGTGGGCACAGGGCACCACCTGCCCCTCTCCATCCTCAAGGGCAGCGGCCAAGGGGGTAGAAAGAAGGCCCCCCCTTCCCCGCCCCCCCCCCCGGCTCCCAGGCACAGTCTCCCGGGACTTTCTGAGCCTGGGATTAAAGGCTGAGTTTCAGAAGCCAAGACTAATGACAACAGTGGCGCAGGGATACGTATACAAATACCTCCCGTGTGTTATTGTTCTCAGTTCTCGCTCAACAACCCTGTGAACTCAGTATTATTATTATCGTCCCACTTTGCAGATGAGACACCTGAGACACAGAGAGGGGAAGTAGTTTGTCCATGGTCACACAGCCAGGAAAGTAGCCAAAGTAAAACTCAAACCCAGGGACTTACACAGCAGGGCTGGCTGCGAAAGGCTATCGCAGCTCCTGTCCCCCCCTCCTGTGCCCCACAGCCCTCGCTCCGCCCCCAATCCAGGAAAAAAAAAAGGCCACCCACAACCACGTGCACAGCACTGCCCTGGGTCCCCCATCACCTCCCTCCAGGCCCAGAGAGCCCCTTAGATCAAAGCAGCCAGAGACCCAGATCAGGTTTAAAAAGGGCAAAGTCAAGGCCACGGATAACACAGCCCATCCAGCCCACAGGGATGTTCTCTTCCCCCCTCCCTGCCTCCCTCGCACATCCTTCCTCCAAATCTGCAGAAGAAAAAAAATAATCATAATAAAACCAGTTCTCACCAACAGGGGGGAGGGGGAGGAAGGGAGGAGGCTGAACCGACAGAAAAGATCCGCCTCCGCTACACGCGACAGGCGGCGACAGGCGACGAGAGGACACTCGCTTCCCCAAAAAATAAACCTACAATGTAAAGATAACGCGGGCGCCGCACGCTAGCTGAGCCCGGGCGGCGGCGCTCACCGGCACGGCGTGTCTTTCCCGCCCGCCTGCTCCCTCCCTCCCAGCTTTTTCCTGCGAGCGCCTGGGGTGGGGAAGGCGCGCCCCACGGGGCCCCCTCAATCCTCGTATGTCTCCGGGGAGGTTCCCCCGCAACTATGGACCCACCGGGTCCGGCCCAAGTGGGATCAGCTCTGAATTCCAACTTCCCAAACTAGTGGCATCCCAAGTATCCGCACAGCCTGGGGGAGGGACCAGGAGGCGGCCCAATGGGGCGTCACCAGCCGCGGGAGGCAGGCCCAGACACCAGGAACACCGGCAGCGGGGGAGGGGGAACAACAGGCGCCGCTCCCGGGGGGGACCCCCGCCCAGCGCCCTCTGGCCCCCTGCCTGGGAGCGCCCGCGGCCAGGGCCACCCCCCAGCTGGCAAGAACCCCCCCACGCGCCCTTGCACCGCAGCCAGACCGGGGAGCCGGGTGTGCCATCTCCAGGGGCTCCCCAAACCCGTGCTGCCCGCTGAAAAACAAGGCGCAGTGTCACCCCCAAACTCTGGGGCTGCTACGGGAGGAGAAAGGCGCATGGCGGCCATGCCCCACAAGGTGGGGGGCTGACCTCCACATTTCCAGGGCGCCCCCGCGCCCACCCCCCCGGCCGGGGAGCTGGAGTTCCCCTAAGTTCCCGGTGCCCCCACGCACGCGGGCTGCAGTGTCGATGGGGCGCCCTGCTCCCCAGCAGGCCAGCCCCCGAGAGCGCCAACTCGCGAGTGCAGGGGCCCCGCCAACTCCGCCGCGTGCGCCGCCCGCTCTTCCCCCGATCCCCCGGAAGCGCGCCCCAGGCCTCTCCCCGACTCTCCACGGGGACCCCCGACCCCAACTCACCTCGCGGAGGTGGCGGCGGCTGCGCCTAGAGTCGGGGCGCGCTCAGGTCGCCCGAGCGCTCAGGCAAGTGGCGGTGTGGATCCGGCTGGGGGCGCGCAGTAGGCCGGGCCTCCAGCCGGGGCGCGATCCTCCCGCCGCCGCCTCCTAGGGCGCCAGCCCCGGGTCCCCGGCCCGCAACTTGGCGCGCATGGCGGGGCGCAGGGCCCGGGCGCACAGCTAGGGCGGGGCGCGGGCGGACACGGGGCTGCTGTGCGGCCCGGCCTGCCCGCGGCTCCGCTCCCCGGCGGCGGCGGCGGTGGCTGCGGCGGCGGCGGCGGCAGCGGCGGCGGGAGGGGGAGGAGGGGGCGGGGCGGGAACCCGGGAGGCGGTGGCTCTGCCTCCCAGCTCCCGGCTCCCCGCCCGCACCGACGCGCACGGCCCGTCCCCCCTCAGGCTCCTTAAAGGGCCCGTGTCGCCTCTGCCGGTCCTACGCGCACACGTTGCTACACACACACACACACACACATACACACACACACAGGAGTGACACCGAGTTTCTTTTTAAACCGCTCCCCGAAGGAGGAAGGAGGGGGGAAGCATCCCCCCATCCTGTCCCCCGTCCTGAGGGCCGCACATTGTCTTCCTCCTCCCCAGCCCCTGATACTTCACTGGGATCGCCTTTCAGCCATTAAATTATAACTCAGGAGTGGCCAGGGGGTGGGGAGGGGACGCACGGGGAGGGCCACACACGGGGCCTTTGAGGGATGCACACAGCTGCGCAGGGACACGCGATGTCGCTCCGCCCTCCGGAGCTCTAGCACACAGTAGGGTGCGGGCTCGCTCCAGGGGGCGTGCACACCAGGCCTCGGCACACAGGAGACGAAGTTCAAGTGGACGCGAGGGTACACAGCCCCCACGCAGGGGGAGAGCGGCCTGGGACTCAGAAAAACGCTGGGACGCGCAGGCGAGCTCACACACCCAGAGGCCCACACACTCCAATGTCCGTTTCATGAGAGCGGGGATTTCTATTTGTTCACTGCTCTTACACAGTGAGGGGACCCGGAATGGGCCGCGAGTGAACGGCCATTTGGGGATATTCAGGGACGCACTGCACAGACTCGATGCTGCGAGGCTGTGGTCGGACACACTTGGACGCCCGCGCCCAGACAGCACGGCACGCAGGCTGCCAGACCAGCACACGTGCGGGCCTCGCCGCGCACTTGCAGGCGCTCAGCGCCGGCAGGAGCCCCACCAGCCGCCCAGACAACTGCGTGTCCTCATTTGCCCCCTCCGGCCCCCTCCCAGGGGGCGCTTCCAAACCAGGGGAGATCTTTTCAAACAGCAGAGGGCACTGGGCGCAGGGCCTGCAGCCTCCCTCCTCCTCTCTGCCTTCCCCTGAGAGGTTGGAGAGTTTAAATTTTTTTTTTCAGTTCAACTTTCCTTTTTTGGAGCGACGTCTCAGCAGATTCAGTTCTGCCATCTGCCAACATCTGAGAACTCCCGGAGGGAGTAGGGAATGGATGCGGTGGAGGCGGCTGCGCAGTTTCCAGGGGCCGGGGCTCCCCCTCCCGCCCGCCGGCTGGGGTGGCCTGCTTCCCTTGTAGCAATTTGTCCCTCACGGCCCCCTCAGGCTGCTGGGGCTCTTTGGTGGGGGTGGGGAGCACCTGGGGCTGACAAAATCAGGGAAAAGGGAAGTGTATACGCCGGGGCCGGGGCAGCAGCCTGCAGTTTGGAACAGGAGCGGGTCACAGGTCAATGTCCCCACCCTCCCCGCTCTGTCCCACCAGCTGCCAAGCAGACCGTGGGAATCCACAAGCAAAAAGCCAGACCTGCAGAAGGCCCAGCAGGGGGAGGGGGCTGCGGGAAGGGAGGGGAGGGGAGGGGAGGCAGGAAGAGGGGAGCCCTCGCAGCAGGCAGCCTCCTCAGCCCTGCACCCCCGCGTCACCTGAGAGCATGCCTGGGATTTGCATCTCAATGAAGTTCAGCTTCTGTGCTGGAGGGGTGTCTTCAGGGGTTCCTCCTGCGAGCCAGGCCCCCACGCTCCCCCTGGGGCTTTAGCGGAGGCCGAGGGCTTAGGAGAGGGTCCGGGAGGCTGGGTGGCTGTCAGCTCGGTAACGTCCCAGGGGTGGCCTCTGGACGACCAAGTGGAAACCCGAGGCCAGGAAAGGGGGAGAGAGGCCTTTTTCCAAAAAGGATTCGCCCCTGTTCTTTCCCACTCCTGTCTCTTCCGTTATTCATCCCGCCCTCGGGGGCTGCAGGGCACATCCTCAGGAGACGTGAAGTCCCTGCAGAAACCCAGAGACGTGGAGGGGTCCTGGGATTGATCCCACATTACACGTGGGGACACTGAGGCCTCGGGGAGATGAAGAACCCAAATCGCTGGTCTCAGTGAGCAAGTGATTCCACAGGGGCACTCGAACAGGGGAGCTGGAAGGGGTCTCGGTGGAGCGCCCGCCCACCCTGGCGCCCACTGCCCCGCTGCTCCCCCCGCGCCAGCCGCTGCTGGGCTCTGAGAGGGAGCCCGGCGGCAGTGGCAGGACTGTGGCCTTGAAAAGCCGGCACGGGACGCCCCGCAAACTCCCTCGCCACGGGGCCGTCACCCCCAGGCACGCGGGTCAGCCAAGGCCTCCCCAGCCTTTTCTCATCCAGCCTTTTCTAGGTGCGGCGGCGGAGCCTGTTTGGGGAGTCACCCAAGGACACCGGGCAGCCCAGAATAAGTGGCCCTGGCCAGACTAGCACGGGGCGAGGACGCGTCACACGCGTGCGGGGGCTGCGGCCTCACCGTCCCCCTTCCCGTCACCCCAGCGCTTATCGCCGCCCCGCCCCAGGGCCTTTGCACTTGCTGTCCCCTCTGTCTGAGACAGCGACCTGCTAACTTCAGGCCCCAGCCCAATGTCACCTCCCTAGGGGTCCTTCACAGACGCTCTGTCTAAAACCCCCAGGGCACTCGCGAACACACCACCCCATCCACTCTCGTCGCCGCCCTTCACCACCGACAATTCTCCGGGGCTGCACCCCGTCTATTGACTGCCCCTCTCGCCAGAACGACTAGCCCACTGCTGCCTCGCCAGCACACGCTAGACGCTCACTAAACTGTGCTGAGAGTGAATGAACAAATGAGCACACGCGACGGGCAGAAGGGGGCTGGCTGGGTCCGGGGGCCCGCAGCCCGGATTCCTCCACCACCCCCTCCCCGGGGCGGGTTCCAGAGCCTTGCCCTCCCTCCGTGGTCGCAGCCTCTAGGCAGGCGGGGGCCGACACCCAAGAGATGCGCATTCGGGCCGACTGAGTCCACATGGGCCACCATGGTGTCAGATCAAACCTGCTCCGGTGGACCGGCCCCCCAACTGCCCCCGGGCAGGCCCAGGGAAGCCGGGCTCTCGGAGGGCCGGAACCCCAGCGGCAGCACGGCGCCCTGCGGGCCTTGACCCCGGATGTCTGCGAGCGCGGGCCGGGCTGCTCGCGGGAGCCCACCCAAAGGAAGCCCGCCCTCCGCCCTCCGGCCCCGTCAGCCACAGTGGGGACGCTCAGCGAGCACCGCAGGGGCGAGGCGAGTGTGCTCACCAGGCCCGTGTACGCGCGGGACCCATGTGACGGGCTTTGAAACAGGGGTTGCAAGCTCAGAAGCCCACAGGGCCTGTGCTGGCCCCCCAGTTCCGGTCCCCAGGCTCTCACAGGCCCCTCTGCTCACAACGCAAGTGTGGCCACGGCAAACAGACACCAAACCCCGGGGGGACCGCAGTCAGGGGCGTGGCCTGTGCGTCACCCCCCGCAAAGCAGCAGCAGCTCCCCAGGCCCCTTTTCCACTCTCCGATGCCCCCCGAAAATGGAGGGGACGGGCGGGTGGGGGTGGGAGGTAGAACCTTCTTAGTGGACGGGGGCAGGGGTGGGGGACCTTCTTTCTAAAGCGTAAAGCCTGCTTTCAAGTTATGCATCCTGGCTTTGTTCATGCAGTTGCACACAGTAAGCATCTACTGTGTGCGGGCACGGTGGGACTAAACCGTGCAGCAGGTCAGCCTGGCCCGCCAGGAGAGAGCACCCAGTGGGGAGCGGACACTCAAAATACGAAATAACGTCGACACCTGCGTGCTGAGCCCTTTAAAGCAGACGCCCTGGTGTTCAAAGAAAAGTGAAGTTCCAGGACCCAAAGAGGGCAGGCCGGCGACAGCAGCTCCCCGCTCGCCAGGGGTCCCTGCCCACTATCCAGACCTGCACAAGTACTGCCGACTGTGTCCCCAGGGCCCCCAGCCACCCTCACCCCGGCTGCCAGAAGCTGCATCGTCACCCCGGTTTCCTCTGATGTCCAGGCCTTTATTTATGACACTTCAGAAAGAAGGAAGCAGGGAACGGGACCCAACCCTGGTCCCACAGGCCTGATGATCTCTGAAGATAAATAGCCCGCTTTCTCCCAGGCCCACCCTTCCGGGGCTCTCCCGCTGCCCACGGGCAGCGGCTTCGGGCCTGGTCTCAGGCGTCGCGGGGACGGGAACAGGGCAGGGCCCGGCAAAGGGGAGACCCGCGGGCAGCGGGCAGTGGGGCGGGCTGCGCGGGCCCTGGGCGTCCGTCCAGGGCGACAGCAGCAGCTGTGGACGAGCAGGACGATGGCCCGCGCCTTCCGAGGGGGCAGAGCGCCCAGGCACATTGTTTAGCACAAAAGCACACGCAGACTGGGTGTGCAGCGCAACGCGGGACCTGGGTGCCTGTGCCTGTGCTGCTGGAGCACGCGGGGAGATTCTGGAGGGGCCGTCAGTCGCTCAGGGGAGCCTGCCCGCGCTAGGCACGGCGTGAGGTGCGCGGGGAATTCAGCAGGGACGCACGCGGCAACGCCTCTGCCCTCCGGGGGCAGACGTTTGGAGGGGAAGGCGCATGAGGAAACTCATGAGCAAGAAGGTGGTCAGGACTCGGAGGAAAAGCGCATCCGCGGGGACAGGGGCTGGGCGGCCGGGCAGGCCTGGCTGAGCGGCGGACAGGCGAGCCGCCCGCCCACGGGGCTGAGGGGGACCACGCAGTGTCTCGGCCAAAGCGGACGGGGCAGAGGGCACAGCCAGTAGGGCACGCCGGGCCTACTCAGAGGGAGGCAGGCATGACAAGCACTGCGGTCCCAGGAGTGGGCGGTGTGGGGGGAGTGGGAGCTTGGAGAGGGAGCGGGACACAGGCAAACTGACTCCTGGGGGGGGTCTGGGAGCTGGGGTTGAAGCGGGGGCCGCATGCATGGGCCACATCCCACGGGGGCCGTTTAAAGATGCATAATGGACGTTCTCTCCTTTTTCTTTTCCTTCCTTTCTTTTTTTTTTTTTTTTTTTTTTTAAGCTTGGACATCTGGTTTTGGACATCCCTGC